ATCGTACGATACGAACAACTATGCTTATCATATACTAATAATGGGAAGATCTTGGCAATATAATGTGGATGATGTCTATAGAGGCAAACACAATACTTACATTTTTTACAAAGATGAATCCTTTCTTGTTGTTTATATTTTTTATTATGATGTAAAAGAGTGTGGGGAGATATATATTCTAGTAATGAAGGTTGAAGAGGCACAAAAAGTTGAGTCTAAGCCAGTTCCCGATGTGTTGAGGCTATTGCCAGTCTAAACCAAGGAGTTACCAAATGGTTTACGTCCTCAAAGAGACATCTAGCATCATATTGAATTTATGCAGCGCTAGCCTGTCAAACTTGCCCCGTTATTGGATGAGTCCTAAAAGTTTGACATTCTACATGGCCAAGTTGATAAGTTGTTGTGTAAGGGACAGTTTAAGGTGAGTATGAGCCTATGTAATTCTTGCTTTACTTGCTCCTCAGAAAGATTTGAGCTGGAGAATGTGTGTATAATCAAGCTATTAGTAAGATTACTGTGGAAACTCAATTTTCGATACCCCGATTAGATGAAATGTTAGGTATCTTGGAGGGTATGAAGGTGTAGTCCAAAGTTGATTTGATAAGTGGGTATTTTTAAGATAAAGGCAGGGTTATATGAGTGATTGGTTATGCCTTTCGAATTGTTCAATTCTCTTGGTGCTTTCATGAGGGTTATGAACTAGGTGTTTAGACCTTTTATTGGGAAATTTACTGTTGTTTATTTTGATGATTTTTTTTTGTCAATAACGAAACTTTCCATTTGCAGCCCTTGGAGAGCAATCTTTGTAGCTTTGTAGGAAAATTGCCTTTTTGTGCACTTTGAGAGGTATCATTTCATGATTGATAGTAAGGTGTGGTTGGACTATATGGTTGGTGCTACAAGTATCTCAGTGGATAAGGAGAAGATTCGTGCTATTTAGTGGTGTTACAGTGCAAACAGTCAGTGAGGTTCTCAGCTTTCAGGGCCTTGTAACCTTCTACAGGAGGTTTGAGAGAAATTTTAGCACCATTACAGCATCCTCACAAATTACTTGAAGTAGAAACAGTTGCACTGGACTGACGAGACAGTAAAAGAGTTGTTAGCTGCTCTAGGAGAAGCTCATTACAAATCCAGTCTTTGCACTACCTAGCTTTTAGAATATTTGAGGTGGACTGTAATGCCTCTTGTGCTGATATTGGAATTTGGAACAATTGTGACAAGAGGGCAGCCTATTGGCTTTCTTTAATGAGAATCTTACTGAGGTGAGAGAGAAGTGATTTACTTATGAGTAGGAGTTCTATGCAGTTGACTGGTTGATGGGGATCATGTTAGGGTTGGATAAATAATGTGGATTGTTTGTGGGATTTATTATTTATTTGGATATTAGTTATTATTCATCTTTTTAGTGGTAGAGCTATGTTAGGAGTCTTCATTTTGGGGTTTTGGTTTCCCCATATAAAAGGATGCATGTGAAGGATTTATTCAGACTTGAATTATTGATTGAGTATTGAGAGTTACATTTCTCTTATTTTCCTTTGATTTTTCAACCCCTTTTGGTTTTTCATCTCCTTCTATGTCTCATCCCTTTCTTTTTCTCTCCTCATCCCCTAATTCTTCCTCTTTATAAGCTACATCACTGGGCTTCGCAACACTGGTAGCATTACTTGACACAGACTATACAAGGAGTTCATTCGCAACATGGATTACCAAACACTGAAGTATGAAGTATCTTAACTTGGGTAGTAGAGAATTAGACATTCACTTTTCTCTTGGCCAATTTAACAAGGATCTAATGCATTGAGCTGAGGTAGTGTCTTATTGACTAGTGTTTGTAATGATGTGATAGGCAGGGTTTTGACTACTTGAAGAAGTTGTATGTGGAGGATGTGATTTTTCAGCAAATATGGGCTTAGTGCTCAGATGCACATGAAGTCTTGGAGGGTTTTCAAATTTCTGAGGGTTTCTTGTTTGAAGCCACATGGCATTGCATTCCTCAAGGAAACTTGCACGGGCATGCCATTTGAGAGTTTCACAATAGTGATTTAGGAAGACACATGGGCAATTTAGGAGGGCATATGGGTAGAGATGAGAGTGTTGCTTTTGTGGAGGAGTATTATTTTTGAACATGGATTAGTCTATGGACTTTGTATTGGGTCTATCTATGTTATGTTGGTAGATTTTCCAAAATGGTGCAGTTTCTCGCCTGCAAGAAAATTTCAGTTGCTACTCATGTTGCACACTTGTGCTTTTGGGACAATGTTTGCTTACAGGGTATACCCAAAGCTATCACTTCTGATCGAAATAACAAATTTCTTAGCCACTCTTGAAAGATCTTGTGGGGGAGACTGAATATTTTGTTGCAGTACAGTGGCTCGAGCCATCCATTGGCTTATGGACAAATGGAGGTCAAGAAGGGAATATTTTGCGGAGTTTGCTTATAACAATGTGCTGAAAAATCCACTGGCAAGTCAATATTTCAAATTGCTTAGGCACCTTTACACACTTTATCTAGTTCTATCACTTTCATTTTTGGGGATGAACATTGTCCCTAAACCTATTTTAGGGAAGCTGGCAGAGGTGCATGTGCAGGTGAAACAACAATTGGAAGCATTGACAACAAATCATAAGACAACTATATAAAAGCATCGGCAGCTGGAACTTTTAAAGGTTGGGGCCATGATCAAGGATCGAAATCTCGTTTTGTTGTACCGTTTTGATCAGCTTGGAAACACAAATGTTTTGGAAATACAATGGAAACAAAGAAAAAAAATGGAAACATGTGAAAACATAATAAAATCCTTAAGCTTAATAATTGATTGTTTGAGGATGTTTATCGGCTTAATATCCATTTAAGATAGCATCATGTTGGAGGAAAAAAAGGCTTGACATGAGGCGGAAGTTACTTCAAACTAATTGAAATTGTGTCATTAAATTACTAAGTAATATTATTTCATTAATATTAAAATCACAGAATAAAAAATTTTTGCAAACACAAATACTTCATTTCAGATATTTTATATACCATATAATTAATTGCAAATATTTAACAAGTAATGTATAATTTTTGGTTTCTACCTCTGTTTTGTGTCGGTGTGTTAAAAATTTGAAATGTTTCATACATTTTGGGTGTTTTGACACAATATTTCAATCTTTGGGCATGATTGTGGTTCACTTTTGTAAGAAGAGGCTACCAGTTGGTACTTACACTAAACTTAACCGGTAGCAGATTGGTCTTCAGATTTTTAAGAAGGTCAATAACAATGCATATGTTATTGATCTCCTAGTTGGTATGACTTTCTCTCGTACCTTCAATGTCCAAGTTCTATTCGATTTCCATTTAGATTTCATGGATCTTCCACGTGTTAACTCGAGGGTGAGTTCTTTTCAAGTGGGAGGGACTAGTGTAGAACAGGTTAAAGCAAATTACTTGGAGCGACAAGGCTGTTGTGCATTCAAAGTGCAACAAAAGGATACAAAGTACTAGTAGATGCAAAATGCGTATGACTCGGAATTGAGTGGTTGGTTGATCTGGATCCGTCCAATGATCAAGAGTCGTCACTGCACCATGAGCTCCTCTGTTTTCGGGCCAAGTCTATCGATTAGGCATTCAAATTAGCGTTTTTTCTATTTAGGAAGATTTTGGAAATCGACAATAAATTATAGGAAATTTCGATTTTAGTGCCATCAATTTTGTTATCGGACAATATGTACTTTTATGTTAATTAGTTATATTGCAATTTTTTTTTTTTTGTTAATTTTCTTAGAATTAGGGATCTACATATGGTTTGGAAATGTATAGACTTTTGGGCATTCCTATAAATATTCTCCTTATGTACTACGAATTCTTCATTGAATAATATTAATTTTTTTAGAGTTTTCTCTTCTTTTTCTCTGTTTGTTTGTATATTCACTACATAATGAAACAATGATTTCTTATGTCCCGTTACCGCTGCATCATTACGATATGTCATATCTTCTAGTTAAACATACTTTATATAACAAAAAAAGTACCTATAAGAATTGGCCACCTTCAAATTGCTCCTCACATGTATTGATTTTAAGTTCCATTAGGCTCTTAGGATAGAACATTTCCACTTAATCAAACTACCTATTAGAAATAAAGTTTGTCGCCATCTAGTTGTTGCTTTATGTTGTCGCATTAAAATGCTTCTTTTGATATTGTCCTTTTAGTATCTCTAGCCGAAATGAGTTCTTTTGGTCCTTGTTGCAGATGCAAGTAAAAGCTACAAAAATTTCATCAAGCTTTACAATCTTCTTACATTACCATTTGCCAACAAATAGTTCCTTTGTGCGTGTAAGAAACCTGCCTTCATGTATCCCTTTGCTGACCCTTTGAGAAAGATTCTTTCGACTTTCTCTCTTTGGTTTTTTTGTTGGCTGGTGAAGGGAATCCCAGTTGGGTAGTCTGACTTTCATTGCTGTCCGTTGGCCTGCTTATGTTAGTTCAGTGACAATTCATCGAAAGAATTGCCCAAGATTGCTAGATCGAGCATGCGATGCACATGGTCTCAAGTCACTGTTTGTCTCTGATGCACTGTCATACTTAGTTGACTACTTGAGTCCTCATTCCCATCTATCTCATTGTCTTTTCCTACTTAGCTTGTCATTAGTGGTAATCATTTCACTCTTCCATGTTGTAGGCCCAACTATCTTATTTGGTTTCTGTCAAATTATCTCAAGTTGCTGCTACTTTTCTCATGAATTTATTCATTTTTTACGACACAAAAATTGTCATTTCCACTTTTCGTCCCACTTATTGTACTAAGCATGTTGTTTCTTAATTGGTCAACATTCTGCTGCATTTAACATGGTTGGTGTCGTAGGTGTCTCAAAGACATGTTTCATTCTTTAACTAAAGTTTCCCAAAATTCAGTTTAAGGATATATACCATAAGAACAAAATGGCTCAATGTCATAGTTAGAATGCATCTTCAAAATATGGTAGAATCATGTTGATTTGATGATATTATTCACTTCTGAATGGTGGTACTACGACATAAATATGCCCTGGTAAATAAATGATATTGTCAGTTTTGATATGCAATAGGTCAAATCCTAGTCCCTTGACCTAAAGAAATGGCATATTCTTGATTGGTTAAATCTGCCAGTGAACTTCTACTCATTAGTCCTTTTTTGATTATTTTGCTTAGAGAAATCATAAGTTCAAATATGCTGCATCAAGGTTGTTGACACTCAGATGAATTTACCAAATATTTGACACTTGATCTTATTTGCCTTCCTGCTTATGCATTTATGTTTTCAGCTGAATTATTGTATATATGATTACTTCTAAAAATATTGGGTTAAATTACCACCTAATTGTCATGTACTTGAGGTCAGTTTTGATTTGGGAAAATATATATATATCAATTTTTTTTTTGCAAATCCTTGTCAAAGATAGAATTTTGTAAAGAAGTCTGTTAATTTGACCCCATGGTTACCGAGTATTTTTTCTGTTTGATTGTCAACACATACCATAATTTTGGAAACATTGTAGGTTATATCACTTCTAACATCTGTTTTCAACACTTAAATTTTGTTCTAGGCTGACTCCGAACCATCAAGACAATCAACTTCTCAGTCTGCACACAAAGAAGAGGTATTATTTTAATTGTTTGATACATCCTTCAGTCCAGTGCTGTAAATATTCAGAGATGGCCTGTAGATTCTCACATAAGATTTGTTACAACAGGTCAAGGAATGGCAAGATGCATGGGACGAGGGAGATAAGATGGAAACTCGGATTCAAGGAATTGACCAACATGGTATGCATCACAGTTAGCTTCATAACATAATCAATGGAAAGCGCTTATCTGGCCTTGACAGGATATTGGTTGAGTCTTCATGGAAAAATGAACTCAAAGTGTTTTGCCAAATTTTTCCTGGTTGTGCTTAACTTCGAAACACACATGGCTTGATAGCATGATTCTGATTAATGGCTGTCCAACCGACATAGGTTTTTTTCAAAAACAAGAATCCAACCGACAGTTTAAAGTGAGCTTATATAACACATTGAAAGACTGGGGTTAAGCCAAGGTTGGTCTACATGGTTGAGAGTCTCTCCACTCAATGGCAATTTGATTGGATTTCTCTAACATGGTATTTAGAGTTGGATTTTGGTGGTCAATGGACCAAACCCATTTGAATTTCCCGTTATGCGTATTTGTCAATTTGCTTGTTATCCAAGTTACCCAATATGCCTTTGGAAAGATCAGGAGTGATGAAAACTGTAATTATACGTACATGTAAAGAACTCAATCGTGATGATGGTCTAAAAATACGATATGATGACAATACAACAGTTGTCATTGGTCAAGAAGGAAGTCCAAAAGGAACTCGAGTTTTTGGTGTGATTGCTTGGGAATGGAGGCAGATCGAAAGATTTAGCTATCAACGGACAAACTTTGCATTGACATTCACCGCAAACAAAGGATGGCCAGACCGTCCGGGTCCCTTGTGAGGAAAGGTGTAAATAGAGTTTGTATCTTAAGGTCATACTCAAGATTAGTTTATATGGTTAAGGGACTGCTCCACCCATTGACAACTTATTAAAGTTAGATAAATCTAGTGTAGAACCCCAAAACAACTTACTGATCTGGTAGGCTTATTGCTCAATATGTTACAGTATTATATCGATAACTTTGGTGCCCACTCTTACAACCATCCAAGTTGATATGATAAGAAAAACAATTCACCTCCTTTTTTAAAATTCATGAAGAGCATATACACATTTTTTCTACAAGATATTAAATTCTCTTTCCCCCCCCCTCTTCCCCTTTCTTCCTCCTCCTTCCCCCCCCCCGTTTTCTTCCTTCTCCTCCTCTTTGAAAATCAGCAGTTGTTGAAAGAGGGAAGGAGATGACATGGAGAGTTTTATGAAATTTACTTGTAGTTGAATCGATGCCATTTGAGTGTTTTTGGGTTTATTACATTTGTGTGGTTTTGTTTTGACAGATGCATTTTGGGAGAAACTTAAGGTGGCTGCCGAAATGAAGGTACTTTTGCTTTTATCTTATTAACCTGAGCCATGGCCAGCATGCCATTCTATTGCATGACAATAATATTCCTAATATTTTTGTATATTGGCAAGGATCGAAATTTCGTTTCGAAGTACCGTTTCGGTCATCTAAATTTCCGAAACGTTTCGGAAATGCAATGGAAACGCAGAAAAAATATGGAAACGCGTGGAAACACAAATACAATCCATTAATCTATATCTATAAAGATAAGCTAAATAATTGATTAATTCAACATATTTATTGACTTAACATCCATTTATAGAAGAATAAATTTAAATTGGAGAGAAAAAAAGACTTGACATGAGGCGAAAATCACTTAAATTAGTTTTAAACACTTAAATTTTTATCAAATAAACACATTTTTATATAATATTAAGATCTCATAATACACATGAAATGCTAATGAGTACATACTTACATGGCTACATCCATCCCCCTGTAGAGTGTCGAGCAGGCTCATACATTGGTGTAGGCTCTGGGTAGCTACTTAGAGAAACTCTATATGTGACATAAATATGATGACAATAGTTACTCCAACTCATATTATTACGATAATATGAATTATATTCTCTCCCAAACATCTGATAGTCTGCAACACTACATCCAATCTGTTGGGGAACGAATGCACCAGTCCCTGACCAATCTTTATCCTGTCTATATGAGGAGGATGTCTGGGAGTCATAACCAGATCCATAACCATATGTTGAGGATCCATATTCGTATCCTCGTGTGTCATACCCCGATCCATAATCATATGAGGGAATACCATATCCAGAACCATAACCATATGAAGACGACGAACCATAATTATGGTGTTCACTTCCACTTTTACTTATACTCATGGTAGAAAAACCATCATTAATCATATCAGTTCCATGCCTAATAGCACCCATGCCATGTGGAGTGATCGGATTTTGAGTACGCTCACGTTGACAATCTCGAGTTGATTTTGAGCGTCGTTCATATTGAAGCATTCGTCGAGAGCCATGATCTTCATCTTGTGTAGCATGTGTAAATCCTTCCTCTACAGTGAATACAATTCCATGTGGACTTTGGCTCCCCATACCTCCATCACCACCATGGCTATCACCACCTCCACTGTCACCATCTCCACTACCACCACCACCACTATCTTCATCATCATCTTCACCGCCATCATCATTGCTACTATCACTATTATGATCATCATCAGTACTACTAGTGACAGTGATAGGTTGCTTACGTCTTGGTGGACCTCTCATTAGTCTGTCAAATTCTTCATCATCCATTGCTTTACTTGATCCTCCTCTACTTATTTTGAATCTTGATTTTCGTGGTGGCACAACACCTTGACTTAGGCCTATTCCTCTATCGTCATCGGAAAAACGATTTGCCCACGTCGATAGAAAAGTGTTTGGTCTTGTTGATTGCCCATCATTATCAAGTTCATCTAAAAGTGCATCACCAGGATCATCTAACCACTCTGAAATACCTTCATCTTCGTCAAAAACAGTGGTTAAGTCTATAGGTCTGAATTCATACCCTTTTTTGTCCTTTATAAGGTGCTTTAACTTCAACCTCATGTTATATTGTGCAAACACCAGCCTTTCTAATTTTTGATAATTGAGTCTATTCCGCACTTTAGTGTGAATGAGAGCAAATGTACTCCAGTTTCTCTCACAACCACTAGATGAAGCTGTTTGCGATAATATTTTCATAGCAATCTTTCTCAAATTTGGAGCATCAGTGCCATACATAAACCACCATTCAGCTGCATAATAATAAGAAACATATTAAAACCTTAAAGAAAAATATAAATAGAAAATCATGAGAATAAAATATAAAAGTGTAAATAATCTACTTAATTACCTGGATTACTTTTTGTTCTTCCTCTAATTGCAGCTTGGTCAGCAAAACAATACATAGCCTCCCGAAATATTTTTACCTAAATATCATGGGTATATTGATGTTATATATTAATTCAGCATATTTGTAAATTGAGATTGAAATACTAAAGTATTACCTCTGCAAGTGCTTCAGCAGCCTTGTTTGGATTTGTTTCTAGTCTAGACACAACGATCCGAAGCGAACCCAAGAAATTTTCTAATATACCAACATCTTCTTCATAATGGTATGTGGGGTTCAAGTAATAAGCTACACAATATAAAAAATGATAACACTTATAAATGATAACATTCAAAATGATAACACTTATCAATAATAAAAATATAAATTGATAAACAATAAGTTTACCTGCCATATGAATATGTTGAATGATTTATTTTTTTCATCGAGCATCAATGATGTCAAGATATTTTTTGCACGATTTAGGAGCCGCATCTTTGACAGCTTGTCTTGCTCGTTTCATTGCTTCATATACATATGGCATTGTTGCTTTTCTTTCCTCATCCACCATTCTTAGAACTTTTGCAATAGGTGCATGCATATTCAACACATTTTTGGCGGTCTCCCAAAATTTAGGATTTAGAATTGTCCCTTGAACTCGCTTTCCAACTGGATCCTTTGCTGCCGCAGTCCTAGACCAATCTTCTGAAGTAAACATCCTTTGCAAACCATTTCTCTGCTCCAACATACTTTGTAAGGCAATATAATTAGTGGCAAATCTTGTTTGCCCTGGCCGAATCAATTCCCCCGAACAAAATGTTCGCATTATATCCAAGACTCTATTATGATTATAAATAAAATTTGTCACTCTTTTAGCTTGCTCTAGTACATTTTGAACCGTTTCAATCTTGGAAAAATCATGCAAAATCAAATCTAGAGAGTGGGCAGCACAAGGAGTCCAATATAGGTGTGGTCTTCTTTCTATCAATATTTCACCAGCTTTTTTGTACGTACTGCCATTGTCTGTAATAATCTGAACTACATATTTCTCTCCAATCTCTTCAACAATAGCATCCATCAAACCCAAAATATAATTAGTATCCTTGTCATGACCAGAACTATCAATTGACTTGTGGAAAACAACTTTTTCATCACAATATATCAAGAAGTTAATGATAGATAATCTTGTGGTGGATGTCTATCCATCACACATGATTGTCACTCCATAAATCTCCCACTTCTTTTTGAACTGGTCAATGTACTCTTTCAGCTCATCTATCTCATTATCTAGCAATGGTCCGCCAATCTCATATGGGGTTGGGCCTTTCACACCCACTCCAGCTAAAGCAATTTCATCAATCATCAATTGGTAAAAATGACCTTGAGCTTTGCTTAGTGGAATATTCTCATAAATGAAATACTTTGCAATAGCATGTTTTGCCGACTTTGCCCACTTTTTGGGATTCCACATATGAGTTAGCTTGACTTGCTTTACTTCCCTATTCCGATACATCGAAGGATCCATCTCTTCTATCGTGAGATCCTTTTCTCTGCCCATCCACTTTTGTGATTTTCTTGAGAATTTATCCCAAGATTCCTTCACACTATGTGAGCGCATTAAACCCCTAGATATACCACTTTTTTGGATAGATGGTCTAGAACTTCCTCCTCTAAAGCCTTGCTCGGCCATATGTATATCACGAATAGATTGTTGTTTTGCATACTCAATATCATCTCTATATTCTATATCCATATCATCATCTGAATTCTCATCGGAAGAATAAATTTCGATACCACTCCTCCGCCTCGATCCACCAATTAAATTCTGTCTCATTTTTCTCCGTTCACCAGTCACTTCTGCATTTTCAGTCTTGTTGCGATTCAAGTAATCCCTCATAGCTTTCGCAATTTCAATAGGACACTTATCACATTGTTCCACATTATTATAACCGCCTGCCAAGTGTTGCTTTAACCGTGACACACCGCCACCCATCATTTTTTTATGGCAAAAATTACACATTACATGTTGTCGATTATCCCCAATTCGTTCGCCGTAATTCCATCCAATATCACGTTCTTTTTTTTTTCTGCGATGATTCAGTAGCTATATTCTTTCCTTTTGATGTCATATCTACAATAAATATCATTACGTTATTAAATATATTAAATTAATTCTACAAATTAAATATGACATGTATAACACTTTTAATTAAAATATAATAATATAAAAGAATAATTACAAAAATAAAATAAATAATGAAGGGTATCAAATTAAATTAATGGTACTTATGTATGCAGTGGAGTATTAAATATAATTACAGTTGGGTGGTAAATGTAATTGTAGTGGAATATTAAATGTAATTACAGTGGGTATTAACTATTAAATGTAATTGTAGTGGGTATCAAGTATAATTACAGTGGGTATCAAGTGTAATTACAGTGGGTATCAATTGTAATTACAATGGTATTAACTATTAAATGTAATTATAGTGGGTGGTAAATATAATTACAGTATATATCAAATATAATTACAGTGGGTATTGAATGTAATTACAGTATGTATTAAATATAATTATAAGGGGTATTAAATATAATTATTCATACATGTAACAAAAAAAAAAAAAAAAAAAAAATATATATATATATATATATATATATATATATATATATATATATATATATATATATATATATATATATATATAAGGCAGACGGCATAAACGACTCAGACAAAACACTCACACACAGCCACTTCGGAAAACACAGAGAGGCGATCGCAATCTAGATCGCGATGCCGATGCCGAAGCCGGAGTGGGAGAGAGAGAGAGAGAGGAAGAAGAAGAAGAAGATACCTCGGGCTCGTGGTCGCAGCGATGACGAAGGCTCTGCGTGGAAAATTCGAGCCCTAGATCTGCGTGGAAAACCTGAAAATGGCTGAATCTCCTCAAATCTGGACTCAAGGTTAGTTCCTCTAGTCTTCTCCTTCAATTTCTCTGTCTCTTCGAGCTCCTGTGGTGCCTTTCCCTCTCTCTTTTGTTGTTTTTTTTTTTTTGCCTGAACCTGGACAGTCTCTCTTCTCTCTATTTTTTTTTTCCTTGGAAGACTTAGACTATGTGATTTCTGTGTTTTATTCCCGATTTTTTCTGTTAAATTTGACTGACTTGTGGAAGGAATCT